ATAATTTGATCGAGCCCTTCCGCCTTCAAGATCACTCAACATCGAGCGCCCTTGTGTGACATTCGATCGGTCATACGACACGCATCTCAAAAAGGCAGCTTAGTTCTTTTTTCGTGAAGGAGTATCAGATAGGGTTATGATATCGCCTGGGCTGTTGTTGAGGTATGGTGTTACAGAATAAAAAGAAATTGGTTAAAATTGTAATTGGCCAGGACTTTATGAAGGTGCAGTTTCGTTTTATCTAGTGAGATTCGTTATAATAATTTTTAGGCGAAAACGAAATACAACATTCTATCAGATCTTAAAATGATACTATCACAACTGTCTCTTCTAGGCTGAAGCTACAATTGGCCTTCTACTAAATCTGCTTCCGTCTTGGGTAATAAATCCTCGAGGAACTCGATAAACTACAGATTATATATATTAGCGACATAAGAAACCCATCATTCTATGAGCCGTAACCACAAAGCATCGATCCATTTTTTCCAATTTTTCGAATCATTAACTCCTGGTTATATTCGGTAGATATCTAAATGTTGCCCCTTAGGGGGGCTGAAAGCTGGTTTAGCGTTTGCTAGTGGCGCGTTAGAAATGTTTTTTTTTTGGAGGAGGAAAGGCGATCAAAAGTTCTTGGGAGTTATTGGTGTGTATAGAAGAATAAAAACAAAAAGAAAAAATGTGAAGAAAGACATCGTCTGACTTCTGTCTCCCAGCTTTCAATCTGATTTCGTGTAATTTCGGATTACTCAATCACTATAGCGCTCGGAAATCTTGCATACCTCAAACTTCAGGAGGTCAAATTCTTGAAAAGTAGAATAAAATCTCGCTATGTCTGTTTTGATCTTTATCAAAATGCATCCATCAGAATATCTAGAAAAATACAGTTTACACGGAAAATATTGCAGAACAAGGTTCTAATGTTTAAATTGGATGATCTAACGGTGACCTTGAACGTGACATTGAATATCACTTTCAAGGGCATTTGCAGGTCAATATTATTTTCTTAAATGAAAACCCCTGTTTTTCACCCAGGAGTGGGAAATGTTATGTTCAATTATGTCGTTGATGATCTTCATGGGTAATTGAGGTTGTCCAATAAGTATGAAAAGCACAAAACAACAAAATGGAGCAGAACAGGATTATAAGGTTTGATAAGGACAAACGAACGGTCACCTTGAACGTAAGCTTAAGGTTATGTTCAAGGTCACCATTTAAATCTTGTAACTTTGATGTGCAACATTTTCCTGTACGTAGCATATTTTTAGAGATATTTTGTTCTTGTCGTAGCTTTTAAACTCTCTAAAATGACCTTGAAGGTCTTAAGTTTAGGTCATGGACAAGGGAAAAAATCCCGCTCTTTAGATTTCCGGTGTCAAAACTAGGGGTTAACATTTTAGAAAACCGTCTTGGTATTTCGAGATATTTATATATGTACATACGTTGATATTAAATGGCAATCAGAGCGTCATAAAATAGCGTTCGTTTCCTATTGTTTTGCTGTTAGGACGCCATCCCACTTCTGAGCCGATAATGAAGGAACGCAACCCTGTTGGTGGTTTTCGTACGACAGCAGCTTCGGCCGTAGCGTCGTTGCACTTATTGATTTATCTCCGTTATTACGCAGCCGCCGCTCTGCCGCCGCCACCGTTCTGCGGTACCATTAGATCGACCACCGCTGCAGACGGGCCATGGCTTAAAATATATGGGAAAACTTCTAAGTAACTCTAATGCGGTCTGATAGATTCCGAGCTGCGATCATTGAATCGAAAGAGAGGAGCGCCCGTTGCAGAATTATCGAACAAGCCTCGCCCTCGCTGCTTCTACAGCTTTAAAATCAATCTTAACGTTGGAACAAAGAAAATTTGAGAGCGCTTGCTTTCTAACTGCCATTGGTGTCGTCATCTTCATTACGGAGCAAGGCACAGAAAAACGTATCCAAGACACTTCAAAACTATAAGCATATGTCATTGTGACTTTCAAATCACTGGTATAGTTGTAGTCATCGTTCTTGGCGGTTCGCCATATGAAATAAGTAAACAGATCGACTCTCCGTACCATGGACGGAACACTGCACAGACTAATCTTTAGCGCATCTGCTACTCTCTCCAGTACGCATTAGGTAATTGTTTTTTTCGTTTTGTATTACTGGCACCGTTTTGGAAATTTTCTCGTCTTCTACATTTATGCTTGTTACTGTGAGGATGATATGTTGCTTGTCATTTGCATGCGATTTGAACTTAACTTGGTTGATCTTCGACATAAAACATAGTAATGCCTGACCTAAAGATACAACTACAATTTCTACACTCTGTATTGAGTGAAAACAATCATCCTCCTCTATCACCCAATTCATGTGTGTGTGCAAAAGCGAGTAGCAGATACATTATGGATCTGCTTGCGCAGTGCTGTTTCCGTCAGGGAATTAAGCTATACACGACCATGAAAAGAACTATAGAATGATTTTATTCAATGGAAAACATTAGTAGCTGTATATAGACAAAATATAATAAATCTATGTACTTCGATACCATATCACACTTCTAAGACATAGTCCGCAAGGTATGAAAATTTCTGTTTCGAATGGACAACTGTTTCTTGATACCAATTTAAATCGTCAAGTGTCCTAAAAGCTAATCAACTAAGTGCCAACTTACGTGTTTGGTTCCAAATCACACATTTGGCTTATGATTATTTTACTTTAAGAAGTCAGAAATTATCCGTGAAACCTGTTGTCACCTGGCTGATTTGCTTTTAGGACCCTGCGCGGGAGATTAAACCATTTAGTTTATTATCAAGAGCTAATTGTCAATTTGAAATTTCGTAACCTCAATACCTCGCCCCAAACATTGAGACCCCTAGTGAATTCGGTGAGTAAGTTCTTTAAGAATGTATCTATATTGTATTTACACCCAAGATAGAATGGATGCGTGATTGCCAAAAGCAAGGACGGCATACAGGGCCGCATTCAGGGCTAAATCCGAATGATGGACCACCACCAACGTGTTGTAAAACAAAGATGACAGTATTTAACAGAAACAGAAACTTAACAAATTACTCAAATACACTTAACAACAACAACAACAACAACCAAGCAAGGTGAATACGAAAACACGAGCACGCCAGGCGGCCGCTTGAAATTTAATGGCGAATTGACCAATAAGAGGCGTTGTCCCCATCTGTTACCGAGAGATCACGCGCTAACTGTTATTATTTACATCTCATCTTGAATTTGGATTCAGTTTATATATTTTATACCCTAAAGGAGTGGGTGTGTGTTCTGCTAATTTTCTTAGGGCCGGTTTATCAAAGCACAGTTAAAAGTGCCTGTTAAGTAACCTCAAGTTAGGCTAAACTGGCAGTTATGTTATGAAGCGTGTTTATCAATCAATCAATAGCTGTCAGTTTTATAACTTTTGGTTTGCCTTCGTTTCTACAAGGTTGGTAGAACTGAACTGAGCGGAAATGAATTTTTATTCGTTGAATTTAAATTTCCCACAAAAAATGTCAGACAATGACAAATGACGCAAATGTCAAAAATTTAACCTATTCGATATATTTGTGTGAAAGTGTATCACTATCACGCAATGACGTCTTTGCTATCACGTATCTTGAAGTTTTCTTTATTCGTGTGGCATTGTTTTACGAAATTAGTACGGATTGTTTGGAAAAATGGAAAGCGAAGAAAACAGTGGAAAGGGAAAACAAAAAAGAGGAGCGAACTTCAGCCTCAGCGACCGCAAAAACTTGTTGAAACTGTCCAACAAATTTAAGGCAGTGATAGAAAATAAAAAAACGGATGGAGTTACTTGGAGACAGAAGGAAGAAGCGTGGATAAAAATTGAAAGAGAATTCAACTCATTTACAACTGGAGTGGTGAGTATACATATACTTTTCAATTGCTATAGTATGTGATAAATTAATTGATTTCCAATATACAGTTTTGGCAACATTTCCCAACTCTGTTAAATAAGATATAAACTGTAGTGAAAAGAGTATGAATGCAATATTAGTTTTTGTTCCGTAATTGTTCATATATGAATAAATTTTTAGCCACGAACAGCAAAACAGCTAAAAACAAAGTATGAGGCCATTAAGAAGGAGCTGAAAAAAAAATATAGCAGCCATAAGTGCTATATGCTTGGAACAGGTGGTGGTGCTTCAAAAGAAGAACCCAAACCTGAGACTGAAGAAGAGAAGGAACTATTACAAACTATCATAGTTTCTGTTGAGGGTCTTCAGTCTCAATATGATTCAGATGCCATAGCAGGAAAGTTCTGTTTTTTTATTTTTACCTTTGGATCATGCTTAATTTGATTTTGATTACAGGTGTAAGAGGAGTTGAAATTGAGGAGATTGAAAACAGCAGTGTGATAGTAGAAACGCATGAAGATATTGAGTGGAACACACCCAGTACTTCCTACCTTCAAACACACATTCATCCAGCTTTGAAAGTATCAAGGCCGAATGTGCTACAGGTGGACGTAAGTGGAGAAGATATGGAAGTAACCGACCATAATACTGACAGTATCAGTGTAGCAGAGACTCCCAGCTCTAAAAGTATCTGTGAAATATTTCTTATAAATATAGGTATATAGATATCTCATATTTATGTTACTATACAAAAATTTTATTTTAGAGCCATGGTCATGTCGGCGAAGACCAGTAATTAAGAAAAAGAAAAGCATGTCTTCTGCTTCTTCGAAATTTGAAGAACTGGCTATGAAGAAGTTAGAGCTGGTGAATTTGCAAATGTCGATTGCAGAAGAAATAAAAAAGCAAAATGCTGCAGAGCATAAAATAAAAATGGAAAACCTGAAACTGAAGCAAGACATTTTGAAAATGGAACTGCAGATTAGAACAAATGATAAATTATAAAATATGTGTAATATATATAAATATAACACATAATTTTGAAATTAAAGATTGCTATTTTTTATTTGTATTTAATTCATAAATAGTACAAGTAAAGAATTAATTTAAAAGCCCTGGAAAATATTCACTTAATAACAGTTCCCTGGCATTCATGAAGTTATTTTCAGGAGGATCAACACTGATATCTTCTTCATAATTGATTATGTTTTCATCCAAGTTTGGAATATCAGGGGGCTGCTCTTCATTTTGGTCAATTGCTATATTATGCAGCACAGCTGTGGCAACGATCACTGTAAGGGTTGTCTGTAATTTTAGTCTCAACCCTGTTGAGAGAACTGGAAATCGTCGTTTCCACAAACCGTATTGCCTTTCCACAGGATTTCTGGTTCTTGTAACTGAAAAAATAAATGAAAAACAAACTCATTAACTTTAATTCTCCTTGTATAGAAAAAATAATGCAGTGTAGTATCTGTACAATGAAAAAATATGGTTCATGCTTTTAGTGAATTAAATTATTTTATGAGTAAAATAAAAAACAGCTCCATATAATGTAATGATTATAAGAGATAGAAACATACCAGCTTCATTATAAAGTTGTTGGACTTGTGTTCTTGCTTCCAAAAGTGGTGTTATTACATGCATTGAATTTGCATAACCACTGTCTGCTACTAAAAGGCTATTGCCAAATTCATTTCTTTCCAATCTACTTTTTATTGATGAATTATCAAAAATTATCTGGTCATGTTGACTTCCAGGCCAGCGTGCAGTAATGTCTAATATTTTTAGATTGGGGGCTGAAATGGTTTGTACATTGATGGAGAAATAGCCTTTTCGATTGCGAAATAGTTCTGCATTATTTCCTCCTGTAAGGGTAAAGTTTTATAAGTACAAGTTCTATAGATACAAATAGATACCATACCAGGTGACTGAATTTTTATGTGTGTGCAGTCAAGGGATCCAATCACTCTAGGCACATGTGCTTTCTCATAAAAGCTACTTTTGGCTTTCCTTATTTCCTCATCATTACTTGGCATTTTTATAAATCTACCTGAGAAGGTAGCTATTGCCTCAGACACCTTCTTCACTATTTTTGAGGCAGAGCTCTTACTAACTTTGATGAAATCACCAACAGTTAGTAGGAAGTTTCCCGTAGCATAGAAGCGTAGAGTCAGTAATAACTGATTGATGGGTGAAATAGAATGATTTCTGAAATAAATATACAATTAATAGTTACCACAGGGAGTCATTTGTCATAGAATTGTTCATGATAAGTTAAATAAAATTCAATGAAATCCACATATCTATTTCCATATTGTTTAAATATTACAGAAAAAATATTCGCAGAAAATAAAAAGTACCTATAGGTATTAACATCAGCAGCGTTCTAAAAACGTGAAATAACCTACCTGTCGGTAACAGATTCGAGTTCTTCCTCGATGAGAGATAAAATATATAAAACCGTAATTTTTTTCAAGCGGAACCTCACAAAAAAATCTATGTCGTCCAATGAATGGAAGAAGTCTTCTCTTTCTCGTACAATATAGGGCCTCCTTTCATATTCTAAAAACTCTACTATTTCCGCATCATCATCATCATCGAACATAGCATCAATATCACCCAACATATTTCAAAGTTTTCACTTGATTTTCAAACAATAATTCTTTACAAAAACCTTGTTTTTGCTTACGTTTTGACACAGACTTTTTGAGGTTAAAATGACAAGAATGACATATCAAAACAAGAAGAAGTCTGCAATCTGCGCATGCTTCAGATCCTAACTGCTAGTTATCGCTCGTAACTGGAACATCCAAGTTGCGGTCAGGTTTCACACGGGTTTAACTGTTGGTTAATATTTAACTGCCGGTGGATAAACATTTTGACCGTCAGATTATTTTTAACTACTAGTTGATTTATTTAACCATGCATTGATAAACCGGCCCTTAGCTTCCTATTTTCATCCGTCCGCCCTCCAATAATCATCAAGCACCTCCAAGGTGATAGAGTTCCTCCCGCTCATGTCCAGGTGATGCGTTTCCCCAAGAGGTGCATGTCCAGCAATAATAACCACCGTAGATATTGCCCTCACACCCCTAAACCGGCCCTTCGTTATGTTTAGGGCACGCGAACTGATTACTTATAGTACAGTCACACTACGCCTATTTTAGTAATTGGCATTTTAACAATAAAAAAACAAATTAGCAAAATGACTTTAATGGTAATCGCAGAAACTACATTAGATCTGAATAAAAATGACTTTCCATTTTCTAGATGTCAGCCAGTTTGACCATTTCCGGCCAACTGGTCATCTAAGATGGTCACCAATTCATAGTCGATGTACTGGGCGTCCATAAAAATAACTACACACATACAAAATGTTATTATACAGCTGGAGTAAATTTCAGGACCGGCTTAGTGTTGCTTGGTTAGGATATGTTAATCAATGGTGTCAACTTTCAAGTCGAACATCTTCATTAAGCAGGTGTCATCGAACCAGTTTTGCCATTTATACTTTCTATGACGACCGGCTGTGTAATACTAATGGTAACATACTGCAGGACAGTTAAAGGACAATACAAATACAATATAAAATGAACGATTTCATAATATAAAGATAAATCAGACCGTAAAGAGTTTAGGCATTTTTACTCCAACAAACTAATGAATAAAAGTTTTCACATTATATTATTTCCTTTTTATGCTGGAAAATATTCTCAGACTTTTTTTCTTTCTTTGATTTAAAGTTTTTAGAGTTTTAACGCTGTTTACGAATCAGCAACATCTTGGCATCAGTAATTCAAGATATTTCAATTCAGATATGCTACACATTAATCGAATAACGAGAAATGTTTCTATGAATCTAAAATGACTGTACTATGAGATACGGCTACGCCAGGCAATTATTTAGGTGTCAGCTGACCGCGGACCGACTCTGAATGCGGCGTTCCGTGATCGATTCTTGAGAAATAGCCAAGGTGTCTGTCCCAAGTCGTAAAATGGGGTGGGGGAGATTTAAATGGAGGCGTTTGGGGTGGATTGATGGGCGTTGTTTCGATAATTTCTTCTCAGGGGGTTGAGAACAGAATATTGCATCATCACTTTATATCATCAGAATGTTATAGATGTCTGTAAAAAGATGAAATGTTTGCACGTATTGTATAATCGTTTTGGTCTAGGAACAAAAATCACTTGAAACTGTTGACATGCTAAAAATTTTGCAGTTTTGATGCAAAAATATTCTTTTCTTTGTATCATAGAATTCTGTCATGTGTTGTCAAATTGTTAGGTATGTTGTCAGTTAGATGACAGATAGCCTATCACTTTTGTTTACTTCTAGATCGTTCGGCATGTTTCTCGAAGTTTGTAGAGCTCTTGATTTTTCTAGAAGTTTATCTTCATATGTTACTAGAGTATATGAGGCAGTGTCTAGCGGTAAATTAGGGTCAAGTATGTAAGTTTTGTGAGTGTTTGAGCAAATAAAACGTGAAAAATTGTGTAGTATTTCATTCTGACGGTGACAAGAACATACACTCGTGGTAGTATTTTATTAAACTTAGTTTTACGATTTTCTAAAGCATTGACAGTTTTGCTATTTTGCGTAAAACCTCGTCATGCCTAAAAGCGATAATGGCGATGGATAAATTTGGTCATATCATAGTGAAAAAGCAATATACTGGGAATAAGATGACTTTTCGGTTGTTTCATATGTCCCTAGTACTGTCCCCCCCCCCACCACCATGAAAAATTTCAACCTGGTATTAACTTTCCTGACGATACAATAGAATATTCATCTCCTAAAGATATACTAGAATGGAAAACACAAATACAATTTTTTACATATATCTAATGAAAAATTGGATTTACATGGTAACCGGAGTCATAATAGGCCTAAGAGGCACATCTACAAATACAAGGTTATATGATACAGATAATGTGGAATAAGAATAGAGTTGGCCCACATTCTCTGTGAAACTTTCAAGATAACCAGGCTGGAGATACTATATCAGAAATATCAGAAAGATAGGATAACACTACAGTAGTAACTAGTATCAAGTGGGTTTCACACACTCGCTGCGCTTTTTTCAGATTCGCTGCCATAATAACATACACTCTAAGTTACTAAATAATCAGCAGATTACCAACGGGGAATGCTCGGGCCATTCTTAAAAAATCTTATGACGTAACACCATGAGATACTTTCTGATCAAAGCCGAAATAATCCGGCGTATCGTATTTCGGCCAAAAGAGCAGTCTGGCCTCATGTTTGGCAGATGTGTGAGACACAAAGAAGTTGGTTTCTCGACGGAAAAAAATATCATCGCGTCGGCGAGATAAACGACATGGCTTCTCGGAAATCAGTGTCTGTGCGTTTGTCAATTCTTCGACGGATCGCAGAAGGCCATGGGGTTATCGAGATCGACGCGGTCGCTCCGTTCGACGCTGCGAGGCCTTAATTGGATGTTGATCACCATCGGTTTTTCAAACGAACGTAAACATTCTACGGTCCTGTCGGCCCAAACGGTTCATATTTCATATTTTATTGTGTGCAAGCTTGCGTGTGGTGGTCTAGTGATAACCACAGAGGCGTACGTACAGTCGGCAGCAAAAAGAATGGCACCACGTTCTCTCCATGTCGAAGAAAAGTGGATTAAATGGCAACCATGCATTCAAGCAGCCGTTCCACCACGCGACAGGCATGGAAGTGATTCGTGGTACTGATCCAGGAAATTTGCCACTGTCACAGACATACCCAACTCAAAATTTAACAAAGAATGGAAAAACAGTAAGAGGTAAAGCGTCCTCGCCTCTTATTACTTATTGTCGGGCGTAAACTGTCACTGTCAAGCACTCAACTTGAAATTTAAAAAAGCATGAATAAGCAAAGTGAGTCTCTAATCATGGTACACATCTTCAACAAGGAAAATACTCAGCACAGTTATTTTTAGCCTTATTGTACCATTTACAATGAATAGTGGACTCTAGTTTGGCGTTCAAAAGCCAATTTTCATCCAAAAGAACAGCGCTCAGGGATAAGCTTCACTATGTGTATTCCGGTTAATTTCATAGTGAAACAGGAAAGCCATCATAAGAAATTTCTTCAAAGTCAGATCTGGATACCGCAGGCTTCAAAGCTAGATACAAAAAGCATAACCTATCCCAAAGGAATAATTTTCAAGCCCATCAAATAGATTCTTATCAAATACACGCAACACTTTTTCGTAGCTTATTGTACCGGGCAATCAAGCCGGTGATCAATTGAACGTTTCTAATGACGGTGTAGGTTTTCAAATGATTACCTATGCTGTCATTCAATTTAGTCAACGTAAGAGGGGCATTACCGTTACTATCATTCGGATCTATGACTACATAAGTTACAGACAAACTATCAGATTATCTCAACTACCCAGACCGACATGCAGACGTATATTGACACAATGAGAAATTATTATTTTATGCTTTATATTCAATTCATTTGAATACCTGACGTCTCTTAGGTACCAGCGTTGCCGCCTCTCGGGTAGTGTTGCGGTGCGTTATGGGATATCCTTTCTGCCGTTGAGAAATTCTGACAAATCGAATCGAAACTCATAATTACCAAAGAGAAGGAGTTTATATTTCTTTAGAAGGTTGATGTTATATTTGAAAGTGAGAATTTTCATTTGAATAAATCTAGTCTGTTTCGATTTCTGACGATGGAAATTGTATTTGAATATGCGGTTTCGGAATCCTCTCAGTAAAGGTATATAAAAAGGGAAAATGGTCGTCTTGGTTTAGATTTGTTTGGTGTTTCGGCTTACTTCGAGTACAATACTGTGAATACAAAGTTACTGGGTTATTTGGCACACAATTTTTAATGCTGCTAGGTGGATAAGGTACGATTCATCTCTTATCTAGTAAACTCTAATGCTTTGTGGTCCGGTATCTTCTCTATACATAAATGTGAGAGACGTAAGAATGTGTACACTTACCAATTGGTCAGGTTCAAGCTGGCAACAGCGCGGCCTGCAAGCAACCGTCTCAGCCTGTGACCGTCAAGCGATACACGCTTGGGAAGTTTGGTTACTTTAGTCCTTTATATATCGTATCTTTTGTATTTTTCAGTGGTACGATATTGAGTTCTCAGAGCACCACACTATAAAATCTATATTCGTCAGTAATAGTCGCTTCATTAGCGCAAATACGCCACGATAATGAATTCAACTGGCAGTAGCTGACGCCTAATGACCATAACCTAAAAACCATATGCCTCGTCGATTCGAGAGCATCAGAGCATAGCAAAAAATAAATGACTCGCAGTGGAAATGGGTGTGGCGGCAATAAAATGTTCAAATCTGTATCGCGAAATGCTTCTTTTTTGTTCACACTAAACGATCTTCGGCCAGGCCGGCAGCCGACGGCTTGAGATCATTTAAACACTGCCATTGTTGACCTATAATTAAAGATTTAACACGAGCCGCGGGATAAAACGTTTATTTAAAAAACAAATTGGATACCAGGCGGTAAAGTCTCGATTCTTTATTACTGATTAAATGTTTGTCTAATACTGTGCGTTGTAATTTCGTGTCTTATGCCCGCCATACGCGCTAAGGAATATCTAAGAAGTTAAAGGTCTGGGTAACCAGGTGT